TCTCACAAACAGTGTGTGTCTCTGTCTGCGATGCTGTCTCCCCTCCCTCCATTCCTGCTGCCTTGTAGAGTGTGAGAGTTAACCCTTGAGGGCTCAGCCAATTGCTAGTTCACCATTTAGCAGTAAGACATTCCCTGGGAAATATCCCACCCTCTGACTCCTCCACCTCAACCAAGCTTCAAAATCATCACCACTGTGTACCAGTATTAAATTGTTTGTTTAAAACTTATAGTGTGTGTGTGTGGGTGTGTGTGTGTGTGTGTATATATAAAAATAAATAAAATATAGTCTATTGTCCGGTGAAAAAAATTTCCCTGGAACCTAATCCCTTCATTTACATTAGTTCTTATGGGGAAATTAGATTCGCTTAACATCGTTTTGCTTAAAGTCACATTTTTCAGGAACATAACTACAACGTTAAGTGAGGAGTTACTGTACTAGAACTGGAAAAAGTAAAGTGAAAGACAACAACAACAAAAAAAGAGAATGGGTATGGAAAGCTTTTATATAATGAGAGACTAAAAAGACTAGAACTATTCATCTTAGTCCATTTAATTTAACACGACACATCTCAGGGTGCATATTCTCAAGGAAAAAGTATGTTACCATGTTAGCTAACACATGGTAAGTAATGTGAGGTAAAATCCTAGTGAAGACAAAGCAGTTTGTAGTTTTCATGTTAACAGATCAAGTTAAAGATGCAGGGGGGGGGGGGATAGGGAGCCAACCTAACATAGGGTAGAAACACTTTTCTGAGTAAAGAGAAGGTCTCAGAATTATTACCTTATTGTATCATTTTCCACTCCCTTTGCTCTATCAATGTTCACAAGTTTTGCCACCCATTAGTCTACCTCTCCTACCATTCCTTATGTATAAACTCCCTCCCCCCCCAAATTTGTAAAAACACTACCTTATCCTTCTTGAGACACACGTCTGACATGATGTCTACATAGCAACGCTGGCCCAGTAATAGCTAGGTATGTGCAGGCCCATTGAGAGAAATGTTGGGCACTGACACATACATTTTCTGTGGCCCCACCCCCTCCCATTTCACTTTATTTACACAGACATTTTGGGGGCTACCCTGAGCTCAGGCCCCTGGGACAACTGTCCCCCCTTTTCCTCCCTCTTATCATCCCTGGGTAGGTGACAAACTATATCCTGTACACCACTAGTCTAAATGAAAACAAACACACTGGTACCTCTTCCTCCTTCCCCTATCTCTACCAGTTGGCTTTATCCATCTGTTGCATCTTGTCATTAATATAGATTGCAACCTCTTCAGAACAGGACTATCTATTTAACTAGAGTATTTAGTACAATGGAACATCAAACTCCTTTTAGGGGCATAAATATAAATTAATTTACATCTAGCAGGACTTTAGTTTTTATAAACTAAAGTTTTGGGTTTTTTTTAGTTTTGGCCAGGCATGTACAGATACACCTGCAGCATCAGTCCCAAAGGGAGTACAATGAAATGAACTATTTTACACCACTGTATGGATGAAAACTTTTATTCGTAAAAGAAACCTAGATCTTGAATTGCTACGATTTGATTCAAAGAAACGTACAAAATTACCTGCCTTCCCCTTCTTGAAACATGAATTACTATTAAAACTAATATTTAAAGGAAGGTACCACAAACGGAGCAAATTTGTCATACTCATAATTGTATTAATGTTTTTCCTACACTGTTGGCATATGCATCAGCATATTAAGTGTTTTGGAATCATCTATGGAATAACCTAAATATCTTCTTGGTTTTTAACATCTTACTTCTTCCAGGACTTTCAACCACTTAGATTTATCTTGTAGGTTATAAAACAGGTCTAGCATGCAATAGAGCCTACCAGCCTACTAACAGAAATGAAAGTCTTTGATAAGTTATTAGTCATGTTCTTGTCATTCTTAAGTGACACAAATCTAATTAAAGACATATATTATAGAATCATAGACTTTAAGGTCAGAAGGAACCATTATGATCGTCTAGTCTGACCTCCTGTACAACGCAGGCCACAGAATCTCACCCACCTACTCTTGTATCAAACCCCTAACCTATGTCTGAGCTACTGAAGTCCTCAAATCGTGGTTTAAAGACTTCAAGGTGCAGAGAATCCTCCAGCACGTGACCCATGCCCCACGCTGCAGAGGAAGGAGAAAACCCTCCAGAGCCTTTGCCAATCTGCACTGGAGGAAAATTCCTTCCCGACCCCAAATATGGCGATCAGCTAAACCCTGAGCATGTGGGCAAGACTCACCAGCCAGACATCCAGGAAAGAATTCTCTGTAGTAACTCAGATTCCACCCCATCTAACATCCCATCACAGGCCATTGGGCATATTTACCGCTAATAGTCAAAGATCAATTAATTGCCAAAATGAGGCTGTCCTATCATACCATCCCCTCCATAAACTTATCAAGCTTAGTCTTGAAGCCAGATATGTCTTTTGCCCCCACTGATCCCCTTGGAAGGCTGTTCCAGAACTTCACTCCTCTGATGGGTAGAAACCTTCATCTAATTCAAGTCTAAACTTCCTGATGGCCAGTTTATATCCATTTGTTCTTGTGTCCACATTGGTACTGAGCTTAAATAATTCCTCTCCCTTCCTGGTATTTATTCCTCTGATATATTTATAGAGAGCAATCATATCTCCCCTCAGCCTTCTTTTGGTTAGGCTAAACAAGCCAAGCTCTTTGAGTCTCCTTTCATAAGACAGGTTTTCCATTCCTCGGATCATCCTAGTAGCCCTTCTCTGTACCTGTTCCAGTTTGAATTCATCCTTCTTAAACATGGGAGACCAGAACTGCACACAGTATTCCAGATGAGGTCTCACCAGTACCTTGTAGAACAGTACTAATATCTCCTTATCTCTACATATAGTTTTCATCCTTACCTAGTTCAGTAACTTGTCGATCAAAAGGACAGCGAACTGCTCTGCCATGGAGAGGAAGCCGAGTAAGACAGTCATGGCAGACGGTATGACCACACAAAAGCAGTCTGGGAACTTTATCACCTTGCAAAGAAAATACATCTTCACAGACTCCACACTCAAGAACCTATAAATCAAGAAAGCATTTTGAACAGATCAGAAGCAGTCACACATCAAGAGGTAAGTGGCCCATCTTATACTGGTAGCTCTTGTATAAAGAAATCTACCATGCAGCTGCACTCTGAAACCAATTAACCCCAGCAATTGTCCCATTAGACCAGGGGTAGGCAACCCATGGCTTCGGCATGCGAGCTGATTTTCAGTGGCACTCACACTGCCCGGGTCCTGGCCATCGGTCCAGGGGGCTCTACATTTTAATTTAATTTTAAATGAAGCTTCTTAAACATTTTAAAAATTTTATTTACTTTACATACAAGAATACTTTAGTTATATATTATAGACTTATAGAAAGAGACCTTCTAAAAACATTAAAATGTATTACTGGCACGCAAAACCTTAAATCAGAGTGAATAATTGAAGACTCGGCACACCACTTCTGAAAGGTTGCCGGCCCCTGCATTAGACAGTTCTTCCTTCATGGATTCTAGTCACGATTTGCTTTTGTACAGCCCTTTCTTTCTGCAAATGAACTGAAGCTGGACCCACCTACAGCGAGCCCTGGGTAAAAGGAACCAAGGGCCACCCTGCCCAACTGCCTGTCTGACCTAAGGCTCTTGATGGGGAGCCACTCCATGGCTCAGCTGATTCAGCGAACCCCAGGACTTCCCCACCTCATAGGTAGAGCCCTACCAAATGCACAGCCATGAAAAACACATCATGGACTGTGAAATCTGGTCTCCCCCATTAAATCTGGCTATTGTGGAGGGATGGCATAGTATGGTATTACTTTTCCACTCCTGCTGGCATCAACACAGCCTTCAGAGATGGGTTCTTGGCCAGCAGCTGCCACTCTTTGGCCACCCAACTCTGAAGGCAGTGCAGAAATAAGGGTGGCAAAAACCTCCTACAATAGCCTTGCCCCACCACCCTCTTTTTGGGTCAGGACCCCCATAGTTACAACACCATGAAATTTAAGATTTAAATATCTGAAACTATGAAATTCAATTTTTTTTAAATGGACCGTGAATTTGGTAGAGCCCTCAGAGCGCCAGCCATTGGCCTGACACCCCACCCCCACCCACGTTGGGAGCCCACCCGCCTCTCGACAGGCTGTCCCCTACGCTCGCACGGGCTCACAGGACCCAGGGCCGCCCAACACAGCAAGTCATCCCTCCGCACTCGTGCAGGATTCTCCATGTCCCCACCGGTGTCGCCCCTCGACGCCAGGGGAGGCTGCTGCTGCACAGGCTGTTTTATGCCGCTGGGAGAAGCCCATTAGCCGACGCAGCGTCGCCACCCTTTGGCAGGATCTGTTGTGTGAACCGGGCGGACGGGTGCAGTTCCTCTCACCTTCACAGCAGCCCCGGCCGGCCCCCGGCTGCCGCTGTGCCGGGGGCCGGCATCGAGCCCCGCTCCGAGGCCGGCCTTGTTTACACCCATGGCCGCCATCTTGGAAAAGGGAGGAGGAACGAGCTACCTACGCACCGATAAGCCAATGAGCCAGCAGAGAGAGGGGAGCGGGCCACGCGCTGACGCTACAGGCCTTCCGCTGTGATGTCACCACACGAAGCGTCCGCGCAGGAATGAAAAATAATATTAAAGCGGTTCTTCCCCAGCGGCCGCCGTGATCACCACTGCGCATGCGTCTCCTCGCAAAGCCCACAGTGACACCCAAGGGACGCATGAAGACTACAATTCCCATCATACAACGGGTCACATTGACGCTCAGCGGCTCGCGAAAACTACAGGTTCCAGCGTGTAATGCTCTAACGTCATCTCAGTCACCTCAGCGAAGACTTCAAATCCCAGCATGCAACGCGATTAGTCCAGATCCCTAGAAGACTACACCACGGGTCCCTCTTCGTCCAGATCGTCCGTGAGCAGCTGGGATCAAGGGGAGCAGTGCATGCTGGGGCCTGTAGTTTCTTCACGGTCCTGCTCAGTCCCAGATGGCGCGTTGCATGCCGGGAAACGCACCTCCGGGTTTTCTGGGACCCGGGCAGCTTGGCTCAGGCTGCGTGCGGACCTTTATCGTGGTTCCTTTCGCCGTTAGCAGAATCTTGGCCTAGGTGAATCCTGTAGGCGGCGAAAGCCCAGAGAGGGGAGGCCGAGGCAATGGATGTGAATCAGCCGAAGCAAGAGCATCTGCTTGCCCTGAAAGGTACGGAGACGAGAGCTCACTGCCCCCCCCCCCCGCCTGGGCCCCAACCTTTCGCGCCAGCCTGGGGCGCAGGGTGAACCCTGCCCTCGTTGCCCTGGGTAGCCTCAGGCCGGGTCTCTCCGCCGGGGGAGGGGGCGAAACCAAGGCGCAGGCCCCGGCGTGTCTGTACGGGAGGGAGTGTGGGCTAGTGGGTAGCGCGCGGAAGCAGGCCGTGCCCAGCGCGGGGTGGGCCGGCGGCGGTCAGGAGGGTGTCCTGTTAGGTTCCGGGAGGTGGGCATGACGAGCCCAGAAGACAGGCCCCTGCCTCCCCCCACACCCGCCCGCTAGCCCTGGCAGTGGCTGCACTGCTCCGGTTGAGCTGCGGTTCCGTACACCGAGTGGGATGAAGAGCGGGCCGGTGAGATTAGCGCCTTTCGAGGAAGAATGAAACACTTAATGTATTAAAGACAAAATACATGAATATTGTCCTGATGCTGCCCATCTACAGAAGCACTTGCTGTAGTTGTCACAGAAATATCATCGTGTGGTAGCAAATGGGGAAGGAAGTGGTTCACTGGTCACTTTCTCAATGAGACGTGGGCAACGCTTGTGCTAGACGTTAGCTATGTAATCGGGGGACGTGGGTTCTGTTTGTGGCATTGTCAAAGAATCTGTAGCCTTGGGTAAGTCCCTTAACCTTCTTCGCTTCATTTCCTCCAGCTGTAAAATAGGAATAACCACCTATCTTTATATAGGACTGTATACTCCTGGGGGAATTCTGCACTACTGCCTGGGTGCAGAATTCATGTCCCTGGCAGATTTCTTTGCTTCCCTGCAGAAAAATGATTTTCTGATTGGGAAGCTGAAAGAGTGGTCACATGTCCCTCACCAGCAGCATGGACGTGTCCACAGATGCTGGAACTAGCAGTGAGGAGGGTGCTAGTGCGCTCTGTGGCTTGAAGTAGTAATAACAACCCAAATACATGGTTTCTGCCTTCAGCACCCCCACTATAAAAATTGTTCTAGCACCACTGGGCACGTCATTTTGGGTGCCTAGACCAGCCGTCAGAGAGGAAAATCACTGGGTGCGGGGGCTGAGGATGCCCTGTCTGGTGGCTCCTACCCTGCGCCAGGCTCAGCTGGTAGTTCCGGCTGGGCTGGGGCTGAGCGAGGACAGGACTTCCTCTTCTCCCTCAAGGAGTGATCGGCGCCGGGTCAGACCCACCCCCAGAAACCTCCCCCAGCTACAGGAAGTTCTACACCCCCTAACCCCATTGCTTCTCAGCTGCGGAGGTAGGGGTCACTGTATGGGGAGCTGTTCCTCTGTCCACTCAACCCCTGTGTAATCCAGACCCCCCCCCCATACCCAGACCTCTCACAAAGCCCCCTTAGCCCCCACTCCAGTGAGCCCCATCCCACTGCACCTGGACCACCCCAACAAGCCCCCCGCTCCTCTGAGCCCCAGCCACCTGGACCCTCACTCCACCAAGCCCCACTCCCCCAGAACCCCCCTATGGCCCCCTATGCATCCCGAGCTTTTTGTGTGTGTGCGTGCGCAGAATTTTTAATTTTCTGGTGAAGGATTCTCTCAGGAGTAAGTACTGTGAGCTCTTTGAATGAAAAAAATATGCAAGTACAGAATGTTGCATTAATTGGAGACTGATGTGTTTACAGTCTTGACCAAACAGATTGGAAGAGAAACAAAGATATAGGTGGTGGAAAAGCTGTGCAATGCTTTGAAGGTGAAGAGGAGAAACTTGAACTTTGTTAGGAAAAAAGAGGGTGAGAGAAGATCTTGTCTGGAAAAGGAAGACTATCTTGGTGGTAGTGTTCTGCATGGATTGGAGAGGGAAAGGCTAGAAAGCTTCTGGAAGTCACAGAGCATATAAACACCACTGACTTATGGGGGGTGAAAATCCTGTGTTCTGCAATACCTGCAGTTAGCAGATGAGTTTTAGCATCTTCAGCAGAGTGCTTACATTTGCTATCCATTGGGCTTATAGTATATAGAATACAATATTTTTGTCTTCTAACTCTTTGCTCAACAGATAACTGCAGACTTAATTGATTCCTTGCCTCCACAGTCCAGAACTGATAAATTCATGTTTTCTACATTCTTTGAGTCTAGTTTGCATGAGAGCACAACTCCACAATGGAGTGCTGACCATTTTTGCCAGTAGTGAATTGGGACCTGTAACAATGAGAGAACAGAGCACTAAATAATCTTTATATGCTTTTCCCTTTTCTGAGTCAATAAACATTATATTGCTTCTGGCATTGTTTGTCTACCATTGTGCTTTTGTGTTCATATTAAGTAGCAATAATGAGCAAGATGAAGTTGAAGTCCATAATCCTGTAATAAATTGAACTCAATGGGGCTACTCAGGTACATAAGTTATACATCTGCATAAGTGATTGCAGAATTGGGGTTTTAGGCCATGTCTACACTAGCGAGCTTATAGCGGCACAGCTGTACCGATGCAACCGCACTGCTATAAGATCACTTGTGTAGCCGCTCTATGCTGATGGGAGAAAGCTCTCCTGTTGACATAATAAAACCACCTCAACGGGTGGCAGTAGCTATGTCAGTGGGAGAAGCTCTTCTGCCAACGTAGCATTGTGTGTGCTACCACTTATGCTGGCAAAACTTATGTCACTCGGGGGTGTTTTTTTCACACCGCTGAGCTACATAAGTTTTGCCGACATAAGTGGTAGTGAAGACATGGCCTTAGCTGAATCCACCTCATGTTAATACGCTCACTTTTAAAACACTCCAGAAGACAGTATATTGGTTTTAATGGTGTTACCTTATTGCTGTCTAAAGCAGTTAGAGATTTCAAATGACAACATCAAGCTGCTTTTCCACTTTTCCATAATAAAAAGAAAAAAATCAACAGTTCTGCTGTTGTAACAACTCATTCAAAGCAAAATATTTTCTTAATACACCCTTGTTTGGGGCATAGAGGACTGGTAAGAGGTGTAAGTAGATCCCTGGGCCTGCAGAGAAGTCAGTGTAGCATGTGTCCCTTTCAACTCCTAGAATTCAGTCATTGCAATGCAGTAGCTAAATGATCAGAGTCTAGTGTCTGTTTATTGTTGGTGTCTGTTAGAACTCAGAGAGTAAAGGATGCTATGAATTCATTCCATAATTGGTAATCCTGTTTGTATCCATTACGTAACATGCAATTTAACCTTCATCTGAGAGAGAGAAATGTTGAAATTTGGAAATTAAGGAGTATCATATTTAAAGTTTTCATATAATAGCATGACTGCGGTGTGTAGCTCTGAAGATTGGAGCTAAGACTGGTTGATATATAGTTATGCTTTGGAATGGAAATAAGAAAATCTTTATTATATATTGTTTGGCATAGTTGGAGTCCAGAACAGCTTCTTGGCTAATCTTCTACTTTAAATTGTGTATTTCTGTTAGTCCTATTTCAGAGAGTATTTTTTTCATCATCAGTAACTGTAATCTGCAGTATATTATTCAGTTTCCTTCATGGGAGCAGAAGGAAGATATTGTTTTGGATTTGTATTTAATATTTTCTTTGTTCTCTTCTCCCCCCCCACCCCCTTTTTCTTTTTGGCTTCATAATTTAAGACGATATAATAGGTTTTAACTTCAAGCTGGTGGTAATTTTATCGTATGACTTAACGTTTTAAATGAAATCCTGGTACTTTTAGTGGATAGCATTAGATACGTGTGTTAAGAACATAGTGCCATAGATGCATGGTAATTTGTGGATAAATACAGTGGCATACAATCTGAGGGCTCTATTGAGGCATGATTAACTGGGCAAAACTTCTTCACATCAATTTCATATGACCACAGAAATGGGTGGATAACAGGGAGGAGAATATTGTTTGGGAGGGGAACAGCATAGGTTTTTCCATGAAGAGCAGATCATATAAATTTATGTATGTTTTTGTTTTGTTAAAGTTTAAAATGTACTTACCTGGTGTTTTAAAACATTAGCAATGATTAAATACCGGTAAGTAATCACTTGTGGTAAAGTATGAAGCATTCTGTTACATAAATATAAATATTGCTAGTTTATCTTTACAGCATTTTGTTTTACTGCAAAATATTCTAGCAATATATGGCTTAATATGGTGGTATCTTATTCTTTACAATACTTCTGCTTTAGGTCCTGTTTTCTTCTGATCTGTGCATCACATGCAAGAAGAGATTCTTGTAAATAAGATGTATTACGCTTTAGAGTCGAGGATCCTAATCAAGAGACTGTTTCTTTTATTAAGAATAACTGGATTCCTACAGTACCAGCATGGAAGTAGTTTTACACTATCGACCATTTCAGAATGACCTCACAAAATTGCAGAAACTTGCAGAAGAAACACTGAAGGAGTTTCCTATTCGGCAACTACCGAGATTTGTTCCCTGGTTTCCAAATGTTTCACACAAACTTCCACTCAAGCCTAAAAGACAACCACCTATTATTTCTGGTGAGAAAGCAGAAGAAGTGAAACAACTTGTTGCAGCTTCAGAACCTCTTATTGGGCGATATTATGACTGCACAGTGGACCTTCTGGAGTTTCAGTCTAATTTGAAAACTGGTCAAAGTTTAATTCAGACACAAACGGTGCATGCACAAATTAATTCAAGCAATCTGGAAGTACAATCGGCAAATGAAAAACCAAAATTGAGAAGGTCTTGGAGTATCTCTGTCCCTAGTCCTAAACTTAAAGAAAAAATTCTTCCTTTATCTAGAGAACTGCAGAGTAATTTAGAAAGAATGAAGCTACATGCATTTTATAGAGCAAAGTGGACAATTGAGCAATCTATTTGTAATAATCAAACTCTAGAGGACATTTGGATAAAAGTGAACACAATGATCAAACACAATGAATTGCCGTCTTGCAATGCTACAATCCAGAGATGTGTGGACCAAATATGGGTTTTCTGTGACCTATTATACAGTGAATATGTTGGCAATCTTCTTAAAGAAAGATTAAATCTTACTGGGAGAATGAACTTGCTTGTACATAAATATGGAATTATATTTAGTTTGTAACTTTAAAACCAAAGGAAATAGTAATATTACTGTCTGGAATATTAGAGTTTGTATCCACAAAAACAATGAGGAGTCCGGTGGCACCTTAAAGGCTAACAGATTTATTCGGGCATAAGCTTTCATGGGTAAAAAAAAACCACTCTTCAGATGCATGGAGAAGTCGGTTTTTTACCCACGAAAGCTTATGTCCAAATAAAACTGTTTAGTCTTTACGGTGCCACCGGACTCCTCGTTGTTTTTATTAGTTTGATTAGAATTGTTTGTTTACATATAATTTTGTTTGACCATGAATTATATCACTGTATTTTGTAGTTAAGAACATTAGAATAGCCCTTGTCTAGTCAGAATTTTCTTCCTTTTAATATACTATATAGAAAAGAAACTTTGTGGTAGAGTGCAGTATAGAATAAGCTTAAGTACCTCAGACTATCACACTTCTTTTATCTTGGGCTATAACAAGAAAGTCCAATTTGGGGCCCTGATCCTTCAAAGACTTTACATAGGCAGTAGCTTTATTTAAGTGAGTAGTCCCACTGAAGTCAGGTCCTGACCCTGCAAAGATTTATGCATGTAACTTCACTCACATGAGGAGTCCCCACTGAGTAAAATTACACACATGCATAAATCTTTTTAGGATCAGGACCTTTAATTTATGTTTGGCTTACGACTTCCCAGTGTGACAGGTTATATCACTGTAATCTGTATCTGTTTTATACATGTAATTAAAATTGGACTAATTTTCTCTAGCTGTACATGATTGGTATCCGTTTTCTGACTTAAAATTCTTGATAAGAACTTACTGTGAGAATCAAATAATTTTAGGACTTTTAATATATGTCCACTTTCTTCAGTGCTTATAGTTTTCTGGATAACTGCTGTCAAATGGGTTGTGAACACCCAATACTGTCTATTAAGAGGATTATTTCAGTTAGTACTGATTTACAGTCTTAAACCCGGAACTTTATTTTAATTTGTTTTAGAAAAGCTTAGCTGAAATGCATATGTATTTAAATCTCCTTAGTCTTTTGCTTGCCTTCATTCTGGCCCATTTCTCCATTACTGTGTTACGTGCACTCTTTACAGGAAATGGGATTGGGAGTGTGGGAAGATGACTTTAAGACACTTGCGTGTTTTCCTACACTGTGGGCCTGGCCGTTTTGTGAATTACTGTATTCCCAACCTCAAGCATTCAGGGATCATAAGTCAGGCCCCCCAAAAGTCATAAAATTATATTAAAATTCATGCTGTTTTTTTTAAATATTACATTTTGGGTCTTTTTTTATTTGCCTTCTTGTTTTTGAGCTTTTAGAATTCATGTTCTTTCTATGTCTCATCATTGTGGCAAACTTTTTTTTTTTAAATGAAAGCTGGGATTTTCATATAGTTGCATGACTCAGGAGCTGTGGTTTTAAGGAAAATGCCATATATTATGAGACTTGTGATAAAATCACAAGAGTTGGGGGCAACGGTGAAATTAGAGTAGTCCTAAGACTTGGAATTAATTTTACTTGACTCCTGTGGCTCTCAATTGTCCATGGGAAGCAGAGAATAGCCAGAGTTCACCAGCAGTCCAGATTCATCCATCTTTCCCATGATATGTTCTGGGTATGTGGTGGATAGGGTGACCAGATGTCCCAAATTTATAGGGACAGTCCCGATTTTTGGGTCTTTTTCTTATATAGGCTCCTATTACCCCCCCCCCCACCCCCACCCTGTCCCGATTTTTCACATTTGCTGTCTGTTCACCCTAGTGGTGGGGGACAGGCGTAGAGCTGTTGCAGTAGTTCTATATTAGAGGCTGCTCTCAGGGTATTTTTCCAGGGGAAATTTATCACCCCTTTATGCTAGAGTTGCGTAAAGAGGCCAAAAAAAAAAAAAAATCTCACCAGTGTTTACAATGGAGGGATACTGTCCCATTGACTTCAATGACAACAATACCTTATCTCCAATGGGTGCAGTAAAAGTCCCCATATAATATTTGGAAGAAACCTTAAAGCAATCCACACATAGCCTGTGCATCAAGAATGACATGATGCCCAATGCTACTTTTTCAAAATAACACTCTTGATGTTTGAACAGGCCTATATTTAGACTTCTAAGGGTTTGTCTACATTGGCAAGTTTTGTCGCCAAAAACTGCCTTTTTGTCGCCAAAAACTGTTGACATAAGTTTTGTCAACAAAACTTGGTAGTGTAGACAAGCCCTAAGTGCTGAAAGTTTTTAGAAGCTTGATGGAAAAGTTAAGTTTGGTGGGGTGGTTAATCATAATACTTTTAATGAAAATTGCAGGAAAAGTGTTTGGGATTTCACTATTGATACTCTTGGCAACTTTATGGCATGAACAAATTACTCAGCTGAGCATAATTAAAAAATATGGGCATCACTATAGTGTCATTGCATTTCTATAGGAGGTTTAACAGTTTTCTAAACAAAAGTAATGCTAATGTAACTGCTGCAGTGGTTGTGGAAGTAGCGATTACTAATCCAGCTGCTCCTCTTCCCAGATGAATTTACCTTCATTTGGATCCTGTATTTGTCTTAAGGTGTGAAAAAGCATGTTATTCAGTGCAGTGCTCCAGTGTCTCATCAACTTTTTTACATAGGTTACAGTAACTGTTTGCCAGCTACTAAATGTTCCAACTGTAACACTTACTATGCTGCTGTTTGCCTAATATTGTGCTAATTTCAGTGGAATGTTGATAGTTGTCAGCAGAGCAATAAGGAAAATGAAGGGTGTAAATATTTGTTGTTTCTGCACTTGCATAAGGAGGCATCCAGTCCCTTTTGATGCAGATCTTATGGAATATACCTTAAATTCTCATTTATCGCTGATACTTACTCAAGACAACAAATCAGGCTGAATGAAGTAAGACGTTTTCACGCTTCTTCATTTTATGCCATTATTATTCCTGACAGGGGTACAGAATTCATATGGCCTGCATATTTCTGTGCCCCACACACACAGAAAAATGCAAAAGAAATCTGCAGGGGGATACGCGCTTTTCCCCTGGCAACCCAGGCAGTGCATCTGTTCCAGTGTGCCTGGAGCAGCCTCAGAGAGGCAAATCCCTGCGGGGGAGACTTTGATCACCGTCAGGGGGTGGGGCTGGGCATGGGTGCCTGCCAATAAGTGAGAGAGACTCTGTCCCTTGCTACTGCGACTCGCCAGTGGCATGGAAGGATAGGTCTTTTTATTATGCAGGAGGAAGGCTCATTCTCTGAGGCCGAAATGTAGCAGCCTGCCTGTATAGTAACATTGTTAATGTTCCTATTGTTAGTTAACTGTTCCCATTCTCAGTCAATTCCCCCAGGAGCATAAAACCTGTAAAAGTTTTAAGGC